CTCCTCCTCCTCCTCTTCCTCCCCCTTCAGGAGAAGGGGACAGAGGAGTGATGAGGGAGAAGGGGATGGAGGAGGGACGAGGGAGGAGGATGAGGAGGAGGCGAAGGACGACGACGAAGAGGTGGCCGGCACGCCTGTCCGACGAGCGCAGCGGCGGCGCCACGTAGCTCGAATAATTGTCCGTCCCCTGGTGGGGGAAGCTTCCAGGGCTCGTCCGGGGCACGGCGCGCACCAGCCTCCCTCCACCGTGCACGCTTCTGCCCCCGTTCCCCCTCCCTCCTCCTGTCCCCCTCCTGCCCACCTTGCTCAAATTCCTCCTCCTCCTCTTCCTCCTCCTCCTCCTCCTCCTCCTCCTCCTCCTCCTCCTCCTCCTCCTCTCGGCGACTCCGAAGGGTGTGGCTTGCAAAGGGTGTGGTCTGCAACCCGCGCGGGGGGGGCGGGCGAGGACGTCGACAGAGATGTCTGCCACGCCCCGACGAGGGCTCAGCAAGTCTTTGGCGCAACGTGGCGAACCCTCCGAAAACCCAAACTGCGCCGATCGCAAGCCCCACCCCCCCCAGGCGCAACCACACCCATTTTGCAGTCAGCCGTCCTCCGCGCGGGCCTCCCCTGGTTCCCGCCCTGCTCTCCCTCTCCCGCTGCTCCCCCCCGTGCCTCGTGCTGCCTTCAGGGCCTCTCCCTCCGTGTTGGGCGGCCGCGCTGCGGCGCCGCGCGCCCGCACTTGCCGCAGGCGGGAGCTGCACCTTTCGTCTGCGGCACTTCGGTGGCGCGAAAGGGCGGTGCAAAAGTGACCTCTGGTGCGCGACCTCAGGTGGCCGCGGGGAGGCCGAAGCGGAGCGCGCGCAGGCCGCCGCCAACGCATCGCATGTACCCATCTGGGGGCCCCGGTAAGCCCGCACCGAAGGCCACTCCTCTTACGTGTAGCCGAGGCAAAGCTCTTGACCTCCTGGCCTCCTCCCTCCAGCGGAGCCACGTTGTCGGAGACCCTCGGCACGAGGGGTCGGGTGGAAGGGCTTGGGGTTGCACAGCCCAATTGCATGTTTCCCCTTTTGTCGTGTGTGCACTGGCTCCTACACCACCCGCTGCTGACGTTTCCATCAGATCCCCAGCCACCCCAAATGAAGGCCCGCTTAGGGCCAAGGGAGTCTTTAGCCCACCAATCCTGCGGCCGAGATCAGATCTGCCTTGGACATGGGGCTGCCTGAATCCAATGAACTCACAGCCCACTGGCTTCTGGATGGGCACCCTCTGAAGGGTTGCCCAGAGCCCCGACGTCATATCTTTTTTCGCAAAGTTCGGGGGCGGCCAAGAGGGGGGCGTCCAAGAGGGGGGGGGCGCAAATCATGGCCGGCGGCATGTGCGCGGCCCAAGGGGGGGGCCAGGGACGTAATGAAATAAGAAGAGGCGCCATGAAATCAGAGGAAATATCATGGCCCACGTCATGATATCCACCCCCCCTAGTCATCACCCCCCTCTTTGCCGCCCCCGGACCCCTCGAGTTTTCGGCCCATTCCCCGGGACTGGTTTCTCATCCCGAGTCGTTTTTTGACGATCCCGAGGCCAGGTGAGGATCTCCGGAGGCCGAGCATAGAAAAATCTTCCGTCGTGATTTTGTTCATGACCTGATGGGCTCTGGGCTTGGAGGATTCAGGAAGCTGAGGAGGCAACCACTGGGAGGTCTTCGTCGGAATGAACGAGGATTAAGCCCCATTGGGGGGCTGTTACGCCAAAGTAGGCCTCGGATTAAGCGGGATTGAACCAGATTAAGCGGGACTAAGCGGGATGAGGCGGGATTATGCTGGACTAAGCCGGAATTCGGACCAGGGCAACATCAGAATTTAAGCTCCCAGGAGTTGCATCCGAAGGAAGGACTCTGACCACACTGCCGAGGGCAGACGTCGCGCGCGTCGTGGCCACCCCAAGCGCAGACCGCGCGCCGCGCCGCGCGCCGTGCCGCGAGCCGTGCCGCCGTCCCCTCTTGCGGCGCAGTGGGCGCCCTTTGGTATTGGACGCGTGCGCCTTGGACCCAAGTCTGTGGATATCGCGTCTGCCGCCCGTCCTCCCGTCTTGCCACGAGCTCCCCCCGCGCATGCCAGAAGAGGGCGGCTCAATGCCGCAGCCAGCGACCCACGAGGGCCCTGCGCCAATTCGGCGCAGCTGTCTGACGCGAAGGACTACCACCTTGGTTCGGTGAGTCTTGTAAACGAGGGTGGGATCTAATGTAGTAGGGGACTCGACATGCTGCTCTCACGGACCTCACAGCACCCAAAGTGGTACCAAATGTAGCACTTAGCTTACCTCGGTTGCATCTCACCTCACTGCGCCCTCCCATTGCACTCATACCGCCGCCGCTCGGGGCGCGACGTCTCCTTGGGATGCGTGCCCTCCCCCTCGCGAGGGATGGCGCTGTTTGGAATTTTGATGCGTGCGCCTGGAGCTTAGCCTTTGGAAACGCCACGACCTCCCTCCATCGATGAGCAGATCGACTGCAGAACTGATGTGCCACAACATTTGTCCTCCAACCTACCCAGAAAAGCGAACACTCAGCAAACAGAACAAGTATGCGGAACATCGATTCTGCAGCCGATCCCCTCCGTTTGCACCCACCAAGGACCAAGGGGGGAGGGGGGGGGGGGGGGGCGCACCCTCGTGTAGGGCGACGGGATATGTACACATCCACTGCCCCAGGCCTGGCCCATCTGGGGCCGAGGAGCGGTGCCTACGCCCTCCTGGCTTGGCCATGGGCCCAGCATGGGCCAGGCCTTGGGCAGTGGATGTGCATAGATCTCGTTGCCCCATCGTGTCGGCTAGACGCAAGGGTGGCCCTGGGTAAGAGTGACCTTTGGTGCGCGGCTTTTGGGGGGCCGAGCCGCGGGGGGACCAAACTTGGACGCGCAAAACAGCCGCCACTGTTTCGTTTTCAGCCATCTGGGAACCCATCTGTGCCCGCACCAAATGTAACTCCGGCGAAAGGTCACTCTTACGTCTAGTCGATCGCGTTCCTGCCCCAGGATCCCGGCCTGGGACGTACTGGCCACACCCCGCGGCCGCAGGCACGAGGGCCGCCTCGCGAGAGGTAGGGCAGCCCCCCCGCGCCGACCCCCAGCCAAATGGCCCCCCTCCGACTCCGAAGGAAACCCAACACCAGTCGCCCCTCCAATTGACAAGCGATACCGTTCTCTACGATCCCCCTGGAGTTCAGGGCAAGTGTCTGCTGATCAGGCAAGACGGCTGGTCTGGCCGAGAGGAAATTAGTCAGTCGAGAAGACCAAGACAATCCTCTTACAAAGTTCGGCTAACTTTTCTGTTTGATCCCCCTCCCGGGGACCGCCCTAACGATGGGAGGCCTCCCGGATCGGGTCCGAGCTGATGGGGTCGGAAGATCGATACGCATCGCCGATGCATCGGCAATGCATCGGCGACGTCGTCGGTGCCACGGCGACGCCAGCGCGGAGAAAATCGGGCTCCTCATCGAGCCGCATTGGCAGTGCATTTGCGATGCGGCGCGCGCCTCCGACACTGTCTACTCGAGAATCCTACCTCTGAGGCCTTGGCCCACGCATGCTCTCAAGACACCTTCTTGGCCCCAGTCGCTCGGATGGCCGACAGTCAGAAACTGATGGGCCTGTTTTCCACCACCACCATCATAAGTTAGAGGGGGAGGGGGTCCTCCTCCTCCTCCTCGTCCTCGTCCTCCTCCTCCACCTCCTCCTCCTCCTCCTCCACCACCTCCTCCTCCTGCTCCTCCTCCTCCTCCTCCGCGTCCAACTTATGGTTGTGGTGGTGGAAAACATGCCCACCAGAAACATTTCGATTCCGGCGGCCCCTGGCCGCCGCGAGAGCAGAAGTGCGCCCTGGCGCTCAGGCAGGCCCGACCCGCGGGCGGCTGGCCGCGTCATTCCAGTGACCCCCAGCCTCCATCGCTCTCGTTCGGGGCGCAGGTGGACACGCTAGAACTCAGCGTCGCTGTTGGAGGCGCACGTCCGACCCTAACAGGATGCAGTCGAGAATATACTACTATATCGTTGCCCGAGCGGCATGGCCACAAACAACCCGCCGCGGAGCTTGCACTATGAGATTTCTACGAATGCGCGTCGCCCATGCGTGGCCGACGCACATCTCGTATTGGCATGTCTGGGCGATGTCGAACGACAAGGTTTGGGAAACACGGGGCGGCCCTGGAGGGCCTCCGCGGGGATCAAGACTCTAACACCAGGACCCCGCGGAACTTAGATATTGTCAGACTCGGGAAGCCGTCCCCTCCACGGAACCAGGCGGACTCCCTGCCCACTCGGGTCATCATGGTACCCCCCCGTTTCTCGACGTCATGTCTCAATCCGGTGCGCCCAAGACTACTACTCCAGGGTGAGAGCCTCGTCGCTGCTGGCACTGCGGACAGAGACTGCACGCACTTGGCGATGCCCATGTTCATCCCCGACCACGCCTGCACCAGGTCCAAGATCGGGTACAGCAGTCAAGAATCGATTGGCGAACTTAGTGCCTGCAGCGGGCACCACAGGCGGCGCACAAGGACGGCGACCGCCTGTCCGTGACGCGCCTCCCTCGGGAAGGCGGACAACTCCAAGGACGCGGCCAGGACTTCAGCTGGCACCTGTTGAAGCACACCGAGATACCACATCGAATCCAACGGAGCGCATCCGCATGCCTTCTCAAAGTCGAGCAGGGCCGTGGCCGAGTGGAAGGCGTGCGCTGCAAGGACCCATCATTTAGCATGTAGCATGGAGTCCACACCGCGCGTTCGCTGTCCTGCCTGGCGGCGCCCAATCGAAGGGCCGCAGGTGCTCCCTCACGTTTTCGAAATCCAGGGGTCTCTCAACGCCCCCCTGGTGCGAACGGGACTGGGAAAGCGGGTGAACGGCCTGCCGCCCCCGTTCTCCTTCGCGGCCAGGGAAAAAGGATCAGCCTGTGGATCGCGGTGGGCCGCGAGCACATGACTTCGCACGCCGTGAGGATCTGGGCCCGAGTCCAGGCAGGTTGCTGGGTGACCGAAGCGCCCGACATGTCATCCATCGATCCCCAGGCAAGACTTCCATGTGTTGCTCCTGCAGATGGTCCGAAGTCTGCTGGCCTCGATGGTGAGGAAAGCGTCGAGCCTGCTGGCGCCGCTGGCTCGCAGTCTCGCCTTCAAACCACAGCTCCTGGTCATGACCTTCCCCTGCTTGCCACACGTTACCACGCTCTGCGGCCTCTACTGCGACAGTTTCCTGGGGGTCGGGCGGGGGCCTCGCCGCTGCGCATTCTTCACCGACGAGGCTCTCTCCTGCGCGCCTGCCTCCAGCGGCACAGCATGCGCGGGTAGCCACCGGGCCCACGGCATTCTCTGGACAGCCCGCGGATGAAGCCGTCATCAGCGGAACCTCGCATGTTGCCGCCCTCTATCTGCAAAAGCGCACGATGAGGCCGACGATCCTCAGTGGCGGTTGCCCACTCGTCCCAAGCACGCTTGCTCAGCTCAGCGCGTCGTGGAGGGAGGGCCCCCGGCCGCCCATCTGATGCCAGTGGTGGCCAGCGCCCAGGGCCCGACGCCAGCCTTCGACAAGCTGCCGCGCCGTCTCGACCTGGTAGCTCTCCATGGCGAGGGAGAGACCTTGACTGCAGGCGGGGTCGGCAGCCTCCCCGCGCTAGGTCCTGGGGTGGCCTCTCGGCGCGAAGCGCAAGAATTGGCCAGCCCGGGCCCGCTCCCCAGAAGGCCACTGCCAGCCCCCTCCGGGCCACGGTCTGCCGCGGGGCCGCAGTGCTCGGGGGCAGGCTGCCTCCCCGCCACCTCTTTGCCGCGGCGCCCCGACCTCGGCGCTCCTTCGCCTGGGCCTCGCTCCAACCAAATGAGTCTCTGAGCTCGACCTCCGCCCCCTCGCCGAACTTGGCCCGGACCTCGTCGAGCGCGGCCTGGGCGCTCACCCCCTCGGCCGCGGGGGAGGCGGCCAGGCGCGGAACTCGCGCCGGCGACGGGCGGGCGACAGGGCGCTGCTGTCACCGCCCCGTGGTCTGGATCCTGCAGGCCGCCCCCGCTCGCCTCGCAGATGCCCATGTCAGGCAGCGAGGTCTGCAAGGCATATTTTCGAAGGGCTGCGCTGCGTCGAAGACTCCCGCCAGGCGCTCGCCCATCCAGAAGAAGTTGATGGCCCTGCCGATGGCGCAGTCGATGGCCTGCCTTGACGCCCTATTCACTCAAGTTTCTCCTTCACTTGCCCGCGCGCGCACGTGGCCCCTGTCCGCCTAATTCCATGGGCTGTCGGCCATGAACATGGGCTCGTTGTTCAAGTCCTCCATGGCGATCCAGGGCAGTCGCAGCTTGATGATCCAATCCACGATGGTGTCCAAAACTATGCATTGACTACCCCTGTCACGGGCTTGCCTGTCTACAAGAACACCGAAAAGATAGCGAACCAGCCGGTGGCACGGGCCTTCGGGAGCCCAAGGCAGAGTCTGCCTGCACATCCCTCGAGCGAAATGCCCCAACTCGTCAGCCCAGAGGCTGGGCAGCAGCGCGTGATGATGGCCACTCCTGCTGAGCGCCCGCCCTCTGCAGCGCTGACGGCTGGCGCCCCCGCAACTCGCCAACCCTTGGCCTCCTCGGCCGCGCCCGAGATGATCGGGCAGTCGGAGGACTTGCCGCGCCCCTGCGCGGCCTCGATGGGGACATCCCCCTCGCCGATGACGGAATGGACCTCGTCTTCCAAAAACTCCAGCACCCTGTTCAAGGACAGGTTGGCGTTGAAGGTCATCATGACAAGACGGCGCCGCGCCCTGAACCCCTGTTTCCCCCCCGCGCGCTGCAGCAGTGGCGCGGCAACGCGATTCCCACCCCAAGCCATTGGGAGGGCCCGCGCGGGTCAAAGGGAGGGATCGTCTGCCATGGCCGTCGCACGGTGGCTCTGGCTGGCTCGCGGCCCCCCTAACATCCACACCAGGAGCCACTGCACGGGCGCCAAAAGGTCCAGCGCCCGCGCCAGGCGTCGCGGTGGCCTGCACCGCGCCCATGATATTGTCGACGGGCTCCCTGGGCACGGTTGTGAAGGCCTCAAGCACATTGGCTTCGCCAGCGCCTGACTCGGGCGTCGTCTCCGGCAGGAGCTTCTCCAGGCCCCCGACGAGCTGCTACAATACCGCGGCGCCAAAGCAAGGGCTCCTAACTTCGCGCTTCGCGCTGCGCGAAGTGCGAATAACCTCGCGCTCTCGCGCCGCCTCCCAAGGGAGAAAAGGAGGATGAGGAATCGGAGCCGAACAGCGAAGCGCGAATAACTTCGCGCCCTCGAGGGCGCCCTAGCAAAGTGCGGTGCCACCTGCGTCGGCTGCTCCTCCTGCGGCTTCTTGGCCAGCGCGGCCCTCTCGGTCTGCAGCTGCTCGTACCCTGTTACCCAGGAGGGTCTCGAAATCTTTGACGGCGTGCAGTTGCTCCTCCAAGTCTGGCAGCACGACGTCGCGATGGCGCTCGGACTTCTTGCTGAGGGAGGCCATCTTGCTCTTGAGTTGCTGCAGCTTCGGAGGCGACGATGGGGGCGAATAGATCAGGGGAGAGCATTGCATGTACCCCCCTGGGAGCCCCGCTGAAGACATGGATAATCGGCACCCAAGGATACCATGCATTGCTCCCCCCATGGGCTATTCGCCCCTTTCGTTGCCTCCGACAGCTGCTGCGCAACAGGCGCGCCCGCACGCCGTTCACCCACCAGGGCAGCACGCGCCGCCCGCTCGCGCTCGATCCCAACGTCCACGGAAGGGGCCCGCCGGGGCCTCCCGGGCGCCGCTGACCTTGACGAGCTTGGCGAGGGGCTTGTCCCCGCCAGCTGGCTGCCTGGCGAAGAGGTTGGTCCCTGAGCCGTGCCAGCCCCATGCAGCGGCGCCGCCACCGCCAGGGGGGCCGCCAGCGCCGCGAGCAGAGCCGCGAGAGCCGCCACCCTCAGGCTTGCCCCGCTTGCCACGCCCCTTGGGCGGCGGGGGAGCGCGGGCCTGCAGTGGCGGCGCGCCTGAGGCCGAAACGTCCTCGTGGATGCAACGCTGCCTATGCTTCGAGGCGGGAGCCCAGCACGATCAACACGGCATCTTCGTGGCGGAGTGTGCCCTGTTCCGCAGGCCCCGCACGTCCTCGGGGCGGCATGGCGAGAACTTGGGGATTCCCGCAAACGAAACAGGTCATTGCACCGGCCTTGCAGGCGTGCTGCAGCGGATTTCTGCATGGATTTCTGCGTGGATTTGTGCCCGAAGCGGCGAGCGAAAAACGAAGTGAATTTGGCGTGGATTCTTTTTGGTCTTCATTCCAGGCCCAACAAAATCCGCGACACCCCGGGCCCACCCGATCGCTTTCCGAGCGAAGTCCGCTCTGCGATGTTGGCGCCTTGAAACGGGGGGGCACGCGGGGCCACACAAGAACGGATTTCCCGATGCACAAAGGGACTGGAAACAATGCCCCCGGCGCCCCCTTAGGTTTTGTCGCACAGCGGCGGGGGCCACAAGCTCGAAGCCCAGCAGCGCGGGCTTCACGTCGGAGCAAGAAAGAAAAGGCCACGCTTCTCCATCCTCTCGCGTTCTCCCCCGTCTTCCCCGATCTTCCCTGGCGGCCGCCCTTCCCCTTAGATCGAGCTGTTCATGGGGCCCTGGATGGACAGGGGCCGGAAGTGAAACGCGAACGCCTCGAAAGAGACATCCCCACACTCTGGCCGCGAAACAGCGGATGCAACCATCCCTGGCGTCACCCGCATGGGGTGCTGTAGCCAACGCCTCGTTCGAGACATCCAGACAATCTGCCCCGAAAGTACAGAGGAGGAGGAGGAGGAGGAGGAAGAGGAGGAGGAGGAGGAGGAGGAGGAGGAGGAGGAGGAGGAGGAGGAGGAGCATGAGGAGGAGGAGGAGGAGGCGGAGGAGGAGGAGGAGGATTCCAAGCCACCCTAGCAGACAAACTGCTCGAGACGTCCCCACGCTCTGGCCGCGAGCGGGCTGGCGGCGGCTCGCCCTTGGGAGTCCTGAAACCAGCACCCCGTTCGAGGCATCTTCACAATCTGCTCCGACAGCAGAAGAGTCTCGGCCACCAAACGCGTAAACCGATCGAGGCATCCCCACAATTTGGCCCCCTTGGGGTGCGGAGGCCAGCGCCTCGCTTGAGAAATCTCTGCAACCTGCTGTAAAAGCAAAAGGGTCCAAACCACCAAACAGGCAAGGCGCCGGAGATATCCTCACAATCGGCAGCGAACGCAAACGACTAAGTCGGCGCCACGAAAATGTTGACTCGTTCGTGCTTCCACCGAGACACATCTTAGACGGAAACGCCATTGCAACTTCGACTTCGAAATGAAGAAGTGCCGACCTCGATGCTCGAATAAGTCCTGGGCGTGGGCGCCAGTTCGAAATCGAACCACGAGGTACCAAATCCCTGTTTTCAGGAAGCCTTGGGCGGGAACGCCATTCCGCAATCGAACCTGGAAAACTCCCACTTTTACTTCGGGGGGGGATCCTGGGCGGGAGCGCCAATTTCGAAACGATCTCAGAATTTTCGGTTTCGACTTCGAAACGGCGCTCACGGCCAAAGTTTCCTTCAACAAACGATCCCGATTGGATTTCGAAACCACCGGACTCGAACTCGAAAGGGCGGCTTCGGTGGAGACTTGAGCGAAGCAGCGCTTGGACAAAACGTTGTACTGGGGCCCCGCGGCCTCACGGACCCCTTTGACGTCTCCTCTCTCCCCGCGGGCGCAGCGCCACTGACAGCGTCGCGCTGGGGCCCCGTCGTCTTACGTGAGGCGCTGTACTTCGGCCGAGCCTTCGCAGCGGCGACATGTGGGCACCCAACCGGGCAGACCGCATGAGACATCTCCACAATCTGGGCGCGAACGGGCCCGTGCAGACACCCTGGTGGCTCCCCCCTGGGGAGTGTCGGAGCCAGCCAATCACATGAGAAATCTTCACAAACTGCTCCGGAAGCAGACGGATCTGGGCGCCGAAGTGAGCAAACCGCCGGAAGTATCCCCACAATCTGGGCGCGAGCGGGCCCGTGCAAACACACAGGCGGCTCCCCCATCGGGAGTCCCGAAACCAGCGCCTCGTTCGAGACATCCTCACTGCTCCGAAAGCAACGGAGTCTCGGTACCCAAACAAGCAAAAAGAATGAGACATCCCAACAATCTGGGCGCGAACGGGCCTGTGCAAACACCCCCACCCTTGGGAATATTTAAACCACCGCCTCGCCTGAGATATCCTCGTTCTCTGCGAGTCTGAGCGTTTTCGATTCTGACAACGAGTATGAGTATTAGGGCGAGTGAGTCTGAGCGCGAGCGAGCATGAATACGAGTGAATATGAGTGTGGGTGAGTTGGAATGTGGGTGGGTACGAGTGTGAGTGAGCATGAGTGTGAGTAAATCTGAGCATGAACGACTCGGAGTTGAGTGAATCTGAGTGCGAATGAATCATAATATGAGGGGGTCTGAGCGTGAGTAAGTCAAAGTATGATCGCGTCTGAATGCGAGTGAATCGGAGTACGACTGAGTGTGAGCGCGAGCGAATTTGAGTATGAAAGAGGAGGAGGAGCAGGAGGAGGAGGACGAGGAGGAGGCGGAGGAGGTGAGAGGAGTCCGAGGAGATGGAGAAGGAGCACGAGGAGGAGGATGAGGAGGAAGAAGGCGCAAGCGCCAAGCAACGAGCACCAAGCGCCAAACACCCAACAATACCACGCCGCGTGTGGTACTTTTTTTGTTCAGGCAACTCTTCATCTGCACTCACCTTTACATCTTTCTGCCTTGGCTAAAATCGGCAGCGTTGCTCCGGAGGTGAACGCGCGCGTCGACTCGCGCTTGGATGCTAACCTTGCCCCCGTGCGGACCGAGCTAACGAGGGTCGGGAACGCGGTGGAGGATCGCTCCAAGAAGTTCGCGGAGTCGGATGCGACATTCGAGGAAGCCCTGCGCGTGGACAAGAACTCGCACATCCCGGGCCCCGTGCGCGCGAAGGCCAAAATGAGGGCATCGCCATCCAGCGGTACGACGGACGGCAAAGATGGCATCTTCGTCGCCGCCTCGAACGTTCTCCTGAAACCCTTCGCGGAGTTCGACACTCGGAAGCAGACGGGAATCGATCGGGCCGCGGGTGACCAGCTCCTCGACCAGGTATCCGCGATAGCAACTACCTCTGCGCCCACGAAGAGGAGGATGTATTCCGACAAGGAGAAGCTTGTAGGAGGAGGGAAGTTGGACACCATCCTGCTGCCAGCGGAGCCTGGCTATGCCGATGAGGTTCAGGAGGACATCAAGGCCGCTCTCGAGACCATCGGCTTCCAATTCAACGGTCTCGACGTGTGGGCGCAAGTAGAGAGGGCCCCGTGGATCCAGAAGCGGCGTGCGACTTCTGGGAGAGCGCGGGCGTTCTCGCAACAAACCTTGGAGACCAACGAAGGCAGCGAAGGTGAAGTCAATGCCTGCATTGAGTGCACATGGCAGCCAGGCTTTGTTACCTTGGCCACGAATCTCGATACCGAAGGTGCCGCGGCGGTCGAGGCCGGCTTCATTGAAGAGGACGCCGAGTGCCACTTCAAACGCGAGTGGGCGATGTGCGAGATGTGCATCTCCGCAGAGGGGCTCGACGCCAAGTTTCGGGTCTTTCGACGGCGCCGCCGACAGCGATCCCATCCTGTCGGACAAGACTTGCTCACGGTTTTGAACTGAACGCCCGCCGCCGGGGGGAAAGAGTCGGCCGGGAAACTGGGGAGAGCAGTTCGAGACTCGTGGGTGTTGATGTGGCGCTTCTTGGAGAAGTACCTCGCTATGGTGAGCTGCGTGGGAAGGGATATGCAGGTCACGTAGTCGACGGGAGCGTGGGGAGCGGCTGCGACATCATGGTGGCTAGAATGTTGTCACCCGCTGTCGGAACACACCGCTTTGAAATCTACTGTGGTGGCAGTGCGGCCAATGGCTGTTTCCCCTCAATTCACACATCTCAGACCATCTCTCTGATGGAGGGCAAGCGCAGACAACATTTGAGGGCGCGCACACATTCATTGCGGACATCCGCACTTCATACCCCGAGATTGTTTTCGCAATGGTTATGGGCTCCGACTTAAACGTTCAACGACCATCTTTGTTTCAACATCTTACTGTGCAGTCCGTTCTACGTGCCCGGCGCCGTCGCGGCGAGAGACGAGCAGTACCCATCCGAATTTTTACGCAAGGCTTCAGCCTACGAGCCTCGAACACGCTCGCCACTACACCGCGCTGCGCGTGGGGGCGGGGCCGGAAAGAACAGCGTAAAACGCAGGTCGAGTCCATGCGTTGCACGCCCACGGTCGCGGGCTCTGCGCGCCCGCTGGGAGGGCCGGGAGGCGCGCCGGGCAAATCTGACCATATACCTGCCCTGGCCTCTCTCAGTTGCCCGAGCGCCGCGATCCAACGCAAAGCCCATGCAAACACACATTCCCTCAAGGCCAGAGGCCGCAAGATTCCGAGGCAGGAGCGGAACTGCATCGACGAGTCGGCAAATTGCTTCAAAATGCTCCCAGT